CATAGTTTTTTTCCTAGATCAATTCCCTTGGCACCTCATTCAAAACAAAACTAATAACTTTTTTTCGCTTGCTGTCATTGCAATTAATTGGTTATTATCTTGTGATTAAATGGTTCAGTACCTAATACCTATATATATGTATAAATACAAATTAACAATAATTATCAAAACTGTGGGGTTATAAAATTCACCGAGAACTTAAGCCAATAATATTATAATAATAATATATTTTTATACGACTGGACTGTATATAATATCTATATGCTGTTATTGTTCGACGACGGACGTGAAGTCGTAACTGCAATTCCCGCTTGTTTGTATTTTATTATAGGATATATTTTAGAACTAGAGGTCTGTTGTACGTGATAAAACTACTTTTTATAGAAAAATCAGTAAATAATGAATGTTTTTTTTCCACGTTTTATGTAGCTCGACTTATAAGTTATAAATTATAATCAATTATTATGGTTTTACTTGGACTCATATTTACTTGGACAATTATATATTAATTTAAATTATTAAATACCAATTTACATGCACATATGTTGAATAACAAACGTCACTACGTTCAACAGCTCTCTCAGCTCAATCTGTTTGATATTATATATTATTCTATGGAAGTAAAACAAACGGTAACCGTAAAATGATGTTTAACGAGTGTTTTTAGTTTAATTACATCAATAATTATACAGTAAATGTGTATGATACTTATTTAAAAAGCTGATTGATGTGGATAGAATTTTAGCCATCCATATAATATCTCTTCACTTAGTTTTCGGTGTAAGCAAAAGTGTTGTATTATTATTTAAAATTTCAATACATTTCATATAAATAATTTCATTTTGAAGCAGTTCAGAGCGATGGCATTCAAGATTGGGCGTAACTCACATTTCACGGTATTCTCGAAGTCTGTCGAAGGAGTTTTTTTAACAAACGGGGAAATCGAAAAATTATCTTTCTGTAGTATCATCTGTGTTCAACGTCCAATCGATAGATAGGTCTACACTCTCATGAACAAATTGGTTAAACTGCCTTAGAGTATGTTTTTCGAAAAATAAACGTATTACTAGGGTCGTATAAAACAAAAATATAACTAATATAACTCTTGCTAGGACTTATTATACAGGTATCGTTTGTTTTACCGGTATATATGATAAAATATGATAATTCATATTTATAGATCAATTATAAGATTATAAATTATAGTGCCGGATTATATATCATTGGATATCATCGCGATTCCTTTGTTATACGAATATCTGACTGACGACTGACGTCATTGTTTTGGGATGAAAGCCGCCTAGGAAAGGTGTTTAATTAAGTGTCAGAGCGTCCGTTTCCTGGTTGCCGTTCAGTGCCTTAGTATTTTATAGTGCTTGTTCAGAAGGAATTGTAAAGGGAAAAGGTTTAGTTTGGAGGATTATTGATAAACAGCACCACTAGCGACCGACGAGTGGTTATAATAAATTGCGCTAGTCGGGCTTAATTATTAAACGTCAACGGCGCGTATGTACAATATGCGAATATTATGCAGTCTATATAACTAGCTAATTAATATCGAATAGTCATCCATCGTGTTTGTTTGCACATTCTCGGGGAGACCGATACATAATCAATAGAATAAAACGAAATTAAGCAATTTATAAATTTACATATTTTCGTTTTATAATAAACCGGGTATAATATAATATTACAATTTCAATAATACTGCACGCATGCATAAAATAATATACTGTAGGTTCGACAGTGAAATATAAAAAAATGACATATGAAGAAAAATATATTGTATAGTTTATTTAGAGGTAACGTTATAGTTTTTCCGACTTTGAGAAAAGTGTACCTAAATTAACCATAATAGCAAGTAGGGAAGTAAAAAAAAAAAGAATGTTTAGAAACGTGTCATAATAATAATGTGACGTTATTAGGGTCATTCTGGGAAAATATGACGAAAAACGTACAACAATATACTGTATTGTTATATTTGTTTATATTGTTATAAGGCATAAAACCACGCCGTACCTTTCATACAAAATATATTATATGTATATAGATGCCTACAGATATCAGTATATATTATAAGAATGAAAAAAAAATTTCCATTAGTAAAATGTTTCCGTCGTTGAGAGGTTAAATTACATCTACGCCGGTGGAACGAGGAAAAACGGTTGCGAGGCTTCCGTTATTCAGAGGTGTTTGTATAAATAATGATTTTTAGTATATTATAATATGTACGTATAATATATATGTACGCTATACGAATATTTATTTAATAAGAGTAATACCATTGATAAACAGCATGCTCATCGCCCCGTTTTATCCTTAGAGAATTAAGAGCTATAGATATATTATTGAAAAAAACATTGCATTTACATCATCGATATAATATTTATAAGGTCTATGATTCGCATGCCTGCCTATTCTATTATAATGATCAGTGAGTTTTTGGTTACAGCTGTATTAACTGCTTATAAGGAGCCTTGTATTACATTTTTAAGCCAGACTATGTATTCATCGGGAACATCGGGAAATTCCAACAATATAAATTGATAGTGTATTGCAGATTACATAATATTATGGAATTTCGTTTTCAATCATGTCGAAAACTACCAAAATTAATATTTAGATGACGAGCAATTACATATTGGTTTTTGTTTTGGCACAGATTATTCATACACACGCCTTATGTGTTTTTAAAAATCGAGCAATTAATTTAATATGAATTAGGTATCTATGTTATATCATATTCTCTTTCGAAAAAAATGAACCGGCTACAATAGTCACATTGAGTATTATTCGTTGTACAGGAGATATTTGCTATAATATTTATTATAATACGTTCGTACGGTCAGGAATATATCACTACACTTTCATCTTCAGTATAGTTTAGATTTCACATCTAACTTTTCTGTCTCAATAATTATTTTATTGTCTTTTGATAATATATAGTTATTATACTAATTATTATCTATTGTATTTATTTTCTGAAAACTTGATTTCAAAACTGTAAAATGTGGAGTGACAACAGCAGATATGATGACTGTGCTTTTGGAAAACTTACATCGATGCCCTACGGTAATATATAACACTGTTTAACACCAACATATTTGATTATGAGCGAATTGATGAATATTAGTTCTACAATAATGTAGGTTTTTTTAGTATATTTTGTAATTTTTGTATCAAAAAAATTCAACAACAAATTTTAGAGACTTGATTTTTTTTATCAAATATTTACATTAGCATCTAAAATTAAAATTAACATTTCACAATTTCAATTTCTTGGATCTTTTTGAAGTATTTGAAAGACTTTAAATATTTAACTAATCTTAGTTTAATTTCCATTTATGTAAAGGCAAGTTAAAAATATCGAAAATAGGGTTGGAATATATTCATCAATTCTTTTATAGAAGTGTAGTGTTCGAGTTCAAAATTAACTATTTTCAAAGAAAAATAACAATTATAAAAAATGTGTTACAAAAAATATAATTCGTTGGGATTCAAAACTTTTCATCACTATGTATTTTATTATTTATTTACAACGATAACGGATTTTACAGCGAAGGGACCATTGGTAGCTGAAATTACAGGGACGCTGGACGAGCTGTTCGAAGAAATACGCTTGGCCTTGATACGGAGCAAGTACTTGGTGCCGATTCGCAACAGCTCATCTGCGTCATGTGACTCGGACGACGACGATTCATCGGACGAAGACGAATGTCGCCACAGATCTTCGGATGTGCGTTTACCAGAAAAGACTACTGCAGAAATAGTTGCAGTAAGCACGCTCAATTATTTCAGCGTGAAAAAAGATTGCCCAGACAAACGGAAAACTGACGAGAACACTGATCAAAATTTAACATCGCGCCTCTGGTCAGAGTTAGATGAGCGAATGGACGCGTCATTTAGTTCGGAAACGCAGTCTGTGTTTCCGAGGTCAGTGGATTTGGAGGAGCAGTGGCCATCGGACAGGGAGGTGCCACGGGACTGGGCATCTATTTCAGAATCGGACCAAAGTCTAAGACCTGAAATACTCCCTTCGGACTGGGAAGCTAATTCAGAATCGGACCAGAGTCTGAGACCTGAAACACCCCCTTCGGACTTATCATCAATACACGTTGAGAAAGTGTGGCCATCGGCCTCATCATTGAACTCGGGGGTAAAGTGGCCAACCGACGATGAACAATCTCTGCCATTTGACTTAGAGCAGACTTTGAATTTGGGACGTTGGTCAGCATCGCATTTGGAGCTTAAGTGTGCCACGATCGATGAAAAATTGGTGCCACCAAACATAGAAAATCAGACAATGCCATCGATGTCCGAACTTTCTTCAACCTCGCACTCGGAGCTTACGTGCGAATCGGACGATAAACAACTGCAGCCCCTAACTGTAGAGCAGACATAGCCAACAGAATCGGCGCCAAAGACGGAATTGCACTCGGAGCTGATGTCAGCAAAAAGTAGCAAAATGCAATTAGGCCCATCAGATTTAAACCAGATGTGGCTGTCAGACTCGGACCTAAGGTCGGCCTCGTACTTGGATTTAGCGGGGTCAGTGAATGAAGATAAATTGTGCCATTCAGAGTTAAAGCAAAAGTGGCCGTCAGGTACATCGCTCTCGGGGCCAATTATGTCCAATGTGGAAGATGATAAAATCTTTTCAATTGCTGAAGAGGAAATCTTGCCATTTGATGATGAGGAAAATATTGTGTCATTGGAGGAAGAGGAGGAGATAAACGTGATAAGTATCGATGAGGATGAGATAGAAGCAACGGAAAAACAGCCTGCACCTATACGTAGGTCATTCCTGTCCGCACTAGGTAGGCGAGTTCTGAGTGTCGGAAGGATACTGTTTTGCTGCGGTGGCTATGGCCGTAACCGTAAACAATTACATGTACCGACTAAATGGAAATATTTTCCCCGTACGTCGCGAGTCCGTGAGTGAGTAAGTCATACGCGATTACATGTTTTCCGCCAGCACTCCATGGTGGCTATCTAAATACCTGCCATGCAGCAGTGTAACTGGCACTTGAAAAATTCAGTTGGATTTTTTATTCATCTTGAATCTTGAAGCTTGAAAGTTGAAATCTTAAATTGTATCTGAAAAATAAATAAGAATGTTTATTAAAACCTCTTTTAATATATAGATAGGCAATATAATATTCAGTATTGCGATAACCGTCTTACCAGAAGTGATAAGCGGCGAATGTACATGATCGATCGTACTGCCGAACACGCTAAACGCTGAAACGCTCCTGTACGGCTTGTACTACCTACATTAATTTATTATATTATAAATATGTGCATAAGCATAGTGCACATAGGTTTTGTATTGTTGTGGAATATTATATAAAATGAAGTCATTTTTCCTTACAAAAGTTGATAAAAATTTAAGTAAATAAATATATGTGAGAATGATCTAACATTATAGATAAGTAGGTGCACAATGCACATTCACGTACGCGTCGTTAAATATGATTGTAAAGAGCCATTCACCTCCATAAATATAGGCCCGTTTTATCTGCAATGTTTACAGGTCGTATTTTCCGTTCTGAATCGTAAACTTTATCTTAATATTTTTGAGTATTAGAGTAACAAATTATTATATCAACATTTTATATCCCCATCATTATTCGCCTAGTATATTATTATATATTGTATTATGCATTTATATATGTGTGTATTAATTTTCATTACTTCTTTAATGCGCTGAAGTTTATAGCCAATATTTAATGAAATGCTATAATACATATAAAGTTATCCTCCTATAATGGTCAAATATTCTAAGTAAATAAATAAATTATTACTAGCGTATTGGATTGGTTTTTTAACGACTGAACAGTTTGACGTGTCCGAATTTATTATGATTATTTTTGAAAGGCAATAAGTATAATATCATAATGTCGATAAAAATATCGTTAGTAGAGTTGTTATAGGCATGTGCGTATATTGTGTATACCTATAAGTATGTTATTAAAAAAAATCAAAAATAATTTCATATTTGTTTAATTTCTGAAAAAATCTGAACTCAATATTTTGTAAAATTGAAAGACCTAAATTCCAGATTAATTAATTTATAGGGATGTAATATATTTATTAGGTATATTATATTATTATAAATTATTCAATAACTAAAATCCTAAAAAAAATGGATATGAAACTCTAAACTTTCAATAGAACCCGGTAAAAGAGAATTAGAGACCCGAACAAAAAGTAGATGCTTAAGACCTTGATTGTTACAATAGGCGTTCTTATTTAAAATTATATTGACAACTCTTATAACGACGAGCAATAATACAAGCACATAAACTTTGTATAATGTTTATTGTTGTCACTAATAAATAATAATTGGAAAATTAGAACACAATTTTCTCAATATATATATATATGTATATGATATGTAAGTAATATTCAAATTGTTAATATTATACAAATATATATTTGGTAGGTAGGTAATATGTACTAAAATGAACAGCATTATAACCCTTGAAATGACATGTTACTCGTTGACGCATTTTAATATTATAATAATTTATAGAAAATTATCACGGTATTGATACTTCAGATGTGTTTTGTAGATTCTATGTAATAATATAAAATATAATATAATGCTATATTTTATAAAAAAAAATATAAAACAAAATATACTATATGCACGTAGGCGAAGTTCATTTTATTTATTTATTTATTTTTTGACAGTTTTTTATCCCGGGGCTTCTCTGAAAAATAGATTACTTTCAAATTGCTTACAAATCATACATCAACTGATGAAAACACTAGTAGCAACTGGCGGGTTATTGACGCGACGTACAGTCCGAAAACGATTTGTTCGAAGGTCGCACAGCGTTCGATGGTCAAGTCTTGGACCTTGCAGTATACATTACTATGTGTTCAAAAATATCGAACGACTTTATTTCGATGGTTATACCATATTATGGTAATTTATTTATAATATAAATGAATCAACTGGGGACTTATGTGTTTAAAGTGATTGAACCAAATAATTTGGTTTTATAAAGCCCAACTAGGAAAAATGGGAAAAACACAGTGGCTTGATATTATGTGTACAGCGTGCGCATATTTTATTTTTATATAACTCTGAACTAAAAATTGGTTCATAAGTAATCTTGAATTTTGTTCCGGAGCCAAACTAAAAAAAAATGATCACAGTTTTATAATATAGTGATTAGTGTTCCATAGGTTCTCGTAAGCCACGGCGCCACGTATTTTGTATGAATAGATGTAATTGTACATAGTACATAAACTTTAAGTAGATACGTTAAAGAATGTTATTATTGTGAGTTGTAAGGGAAAAACTCAGAAAATTATTTTTGTATAATTGTATTATGTTAATTTAAAATCACATGATGAATAAAAGTCTCTGTAAATGTGGTTTGTTTTTATTTTCCCATTGTAGAAAACTTCCAAATTTTTTTTAGTTGTTGGTATCTCTTTTTAAATTTACAAAGCAAGTGGTATTTTAATATATTATTATGTTAAGACTAATGAGATTAAAACGAAAAATTTTAATTTTAAAAATTTGTATTTTGTTTCTATGTTTTAAACTAAATTTAATAAAAATTATTTTGGTTGAGTTGGTTGGTGTTATACTAGAATATTAGACGAGTTATTAATATTCGATCGGTAAACATACCGGCTGTTTGATGACAGTATATGTGTCACATGATATCATAATATGCTGATATGATCGGTTCACAGTATTTATACGAGCTAGGTGTTCCACACAGTAATTTATAATTTTATATTTTAAAACAATGAGACATGCCACACCAAGGTGGAGTATAATGTAATTGTGGATGGCGTTTGTTATCATCGCCTAAAAGAAAATTAAAACGTAATACAATTTTAAAATTAATAATTAGAGGAAATATAGTATTTTTGTTTTATTATCTACGCAACCAGCAAAAAAATTTCCCGCGGGACAACTGTCACATCGAATTTCCTCCTTGTTTTAATAGACCACGAGAAAGGAAGGAAATAAAAATAATTTACGTTTGTGAATATTTACAGCTGTTAGTTAATTTTATTTATAGAAGGAATATTTTTAAGCAAATTCATAAAATATTTACTATTTATAATATTTGTCAAGTTGGTTTTGATTTTTATTGGGCTCCCGTGCATTATATAATAACAATAAAAATTATGAAAACATTCTTTTTTTAACTAGTATTATAATTTATATAAGTATAAAAATAGTAAAAAAGGTAATACGTATTATTTAAAAAAAAAATACAAACCTATACCAAATTTTTTTTATTTAACACATTTAATGAAATATTCTAAAACGAATATATGATTATTCAAAATTTGAATTTTCATTTAACTTGATAAATGTCCTTAAAAACCAAATTAAATGATGATTTGGATGATAAAGATATATTTTTGATAAAAAATATAAACATTTGAATTATCACTGTTTATATTTTAAAAATAGTAAAGTTGAATGTGCGGTGAATATTAAATGATGGAAAATATTTGATTAATTTGTATTTACGAATTCCCTTGTTTATTAAATTCAACAAATTAGTATAACGGTAACAACTGAAGAACTGATGATTAATTTCCTAAAAAAGCTTTTAATTCCTTTCTCGTTTTATGACATTACTATAATAGAATCTTAAGTAGTGTTGTCTGTTGGTACTTGATAATAATGTTAATTTGCTGAGAATATCTTAACCTAATAAATTCCAAAATAAGTAATTATTCGTTTCTCCGTATTTTTACTTTAAAATGTTTCTAAAAAATAAAATAATATTGACTTGTTTATTTATTATGCATATAAATATAAGTAATTCAACTATCCCTCATCGTACATAACTTATTTACGTAATGTCAACAAAAAAACCTTATTATAGAGATGCAGATGCTTGGTTTAGCTTAGAGCTAAACTTAAATAATATTTTTTTTAGGAGTATAGACATTTAAATTTCGAGAGGAGAGATTAATGTATTATTTTATAAATGTGTGTATTTCCCATACTCTATTTTGTTTTTTATCTCTGAGAGATTTTTTTTTAGTTAATTTTAAGAAGAGTTAGGAGCATCTTACAATTGTGTATTTCTGTCATTATATTATTCAAAATTTATAATTTTTTTATTACCTGGACTAAATTGGATACGACCCCAGAATGTATCATGTTTTTAATATAAGAATATATTATGTATTACTTGTATTTTAGTATTTGAAGTATCAAAGAAAACTTTACTGCCAGGATGTAAAATCGACATTTACAATGTGAAAGATACTGAACAAGAATATTTCTCATCACTCGTGAATTATATATTTCAGGTTCATGTGGTGGATGTGTTGATTTTAACACCTATCCCTTTTTAGTAGTAAAAAAATCCTATTGCTATCTGCGTTTTATCCCTTATTCAATGCCTGGAGCAGTTTATAAACAAAACAGTGACGGTCATGGCAAAGTGCCAGCGACGACGGAGAAACAAAATATATTATTTATGATCGGAACCATGTTCGCCGTTTTAGGCTCAGCTTATAACTGATTTTACGGTGCCCTGCAGTTTGGTTTCAAATATTATCCATACAAAGCCATACGGTTTTTCCTCTCCGAAATTTACCAATTTACATGTGGGTATCGAAAGTAAATCGATAAATCGATAAATATGAAAACACCCTTGTAATGGAAAACACAAGGAAAATCGGTTTAGTGCTGTTTTTTTCTTGTAGATTTAGGAGGCATGAGTTGAGGTGTTCAAATGTTAACCCAGTACAATAATGGCGTAAATGAAAAGCCAACATCACTGTAGAATTAATAAGTACACAGAAGGGCACTCTGACGTCTGTCAACAGAAAAAAAAACCAAATCCTTGATAAAAGAAAAACCTTTTTACTTTGTCTAAAGGTTGTATTTCGTTAAAATAATTCATTATGGGCTGCAGTGAACATGGCCGGATTAATTTACAACTATTATCTTTCAACGAATAATCGAAATAGAGGCAATACAGGACACAATATACACGCATTGTAAACCGTGTTATATCGGTTGTGTAATGTAATTGTGAATAAGACTATTGGTCGACGGTTGAAATAATATTTCAATAAATTGGGCCTATTATTATTATACTTTAATGTATATAAATTATTCAAAATTTCACAGCACTTGTACGATATATCTGTATTATTACTTTTATTAGAATTAAAATCTCACGTTTTCTTATAAATTAGAATATAAGACACACATAAATATGAAATTGAAGTATAACTCAATAGGTACTTGGATTTTGGATTCAAT